AATCCTAGAAATCTATGAAATCTATGAAAGAATATTTGAAATTTAGTTTCTACAAAGCAGTCTAGAGAAAGCAGCAATATGGTATAGTCAAAAGTTGCTGGTAAATTTAAGCTCTTCAGCTTTTGTACACAGATTTGTAGATTAGATGTAACCATAGCCACTGGAGTTAGCAGCTCTCAGATATAATAAAAGCAACCATTTTGGACACAAAAGTGTGTCACAGTCCACAAATTGCAAAGAAATGCAATGGCAAAATACATGACTAAACGTACCATTAGAGGACAAAGCTCTGATGATGATGAAGAAGCAGAATTTTTTGTTGAGTCTCTTCCTAAATCTGCAAAGCAAGGTTTACAATAGATTTCCTTGTGCCACACAGTGATTTTCAAAACAGAAACATTGAAACATGAAGATTCATATAGGACTATGTTGCAGGACAAGCAGCAAGTGCAAATGATCAAACAGTAACTTGTCTACTGAACAGAGCATAAAAGATATCCTTAAAGAATTTTTATGCATGATTTAATGGACTAATATGCATTAAGGATACATCATATAGAGCTCATCAACTTCAGTGAAACCACTTGTAGAGAAATAATAAAAAGCATGTATAATAATAAAAAGCAGGGAGGAGAATATTATCTTGTGGCAGTGCACTTGCAGTGTCTGCCACTTTAAGGGTCATTTGAAAACACTGGCTGCCTATATAAATACAGCAGTTTGTTGCTGGCTACCCAGGCAGAAACGTTGCCTGGCAGAAAGGCTGTATGAAACATCTCGTATGTAAGAGCAGGTGGTTCTTGGTCCTGGGCATGACCTAAAACTGCACCCTGCTGAGGATGGGTGGCCTGGTGAGGCTCCTGGTGGTGTGGGGGCTGCCAGGAAATACCAGGCCAGTTACCACTCCAGTAACAGGTGGGTCAGGGCACCTTAACCCCTAGCCCCCACAACACTGTGGGTACAAGGAGGCCAGGCATGGCTATGGCCACCTGAGCCCAAAGAGGGTGTAAGACCCAGGTGGGGCCAGGCATGGCTGTGGCCACCTGAGCCTCTGCAGGGGAGGGAAACCCCGGAGTCCCAAAGGAGGGGATAGATGTGTAACCCCAGAGAGGGGGTGGTAGCGAGAGCCCAGAAGAGGGTTGAGTAGGGCTGAGTGTCAGCTTGAATGGCAGCACAAGGGGATATGCTGAGTAGGGCTGTGGGACAGCCTGAAGGGCAGCGCATGGGCCAGCCCCCTGGAGATCAAGTTGAGGGAAGCGTGGAGCCCCAGTGAGGGGGAGCAGAGAGCTGGGAGCCCAGTACATAGGGCCATTTGTGTATGTTTATGTAAAGCTGCCCCGGGAGAGGCCAGGGCAAGCTTGGCCTGGGTCAGGAACTTGGCTGGTCACTACCCAGGTGAGGGTTGCGGGAGAGACCCAAGAGACTGTACATCTGCCACCCAAGGCACGATCCAGAGAAAGCCTATGGCCACTCTAAGAGGGAGCAGGGCAGAATAAGTTGTCGATGTGAGAGAGAGGCCCTGTGAGAGGGGTAGAGTGCAAGAGGCCCTAGTGAGAGGAGGGTGGAATGAATATGTGTGTGTGAAAGAGGCCTGACAGTGAGGGCTAAGCTTGGCCCGGCTCTAGGCCAGGAGCATAATGTCACCATGGATGCCATCTGCAAGGCATGGGCTGTGGTGTAGGAAAAGTTCGGAGTCGCAGATAGCGCCCCCTGGCATCAGGGCATGTAATGGGCAGTCTCCCGCATTTTCCACCAGGTTATGGAAACAGCAAAGTCATGGCAGGAGAGACTGGGAGGACTGCCCCATAGGGACAGGTGGATGGGCCGGCGTGAGCCCTGGCCCTGAGAGCAGCCCCCATCACATATCTATGTATCAGTTTATTCATAGTACATAGATGCCTAAGCACCTTTTATACTAGATGGTTGAAGTGACTCATCCATTAAGTTTAAAATGTGTTTGTATTAAAATCTTTTGAAGAGGTATACATCCTAAGCTCTTGTGTTTTGTGAGAAGATAATCATATAAGATTGCAAGAACCAAGGACCAAGCATGTGTGATACCAATGAGAAATAAAGGTGGCTCTAACTTTGTTTGCAATTGAAGTTGGTGTCACTGTATTATGCATTTAATAATATATTCAGAGATTATTTCTTTTTATAGGCTTGACTTTGAAGATTGCTCCTGGGACATAAAAAGCTCTAGTAAAATTATGCATAAACTAATATTTTTCATACTGGCTAAAGGTTTTATTGCCTCTGATTTTGGGTGCTCAAACTGGGCCTGTTTTTCAGAGGATAAGTTCTCAACCCTTTCTGATAATCAGGCACCAATACGTTGTCTCAGTTTAGGAATAAAAAATGGAGACACCCAAAATCACTAGCTGCTTTTTTACAACTTTGGTGCTTATAGCCATGTGTAGACAAAATGAGGGGCACGTGTGCATGACACTTTAAAGTGGGCTTTAAAGCTTTTGCACCACTTCAATGGTGTTAGTGTTTGCACGTGTTGACGGCGTATTGCGCTCTAATTCTAGCCACTATAGCAAATTCGGCAGCGTGATGCGCCTTAAATGACTTGGGGTGCAGCAAACTAAAACTCCTTCGAGGAGTTTTAGTTTGCTTCCCTATAGCCATGGAGTGAAGCACCGGGCTCCATTCAGCTCAGGGGCTCTGCAGGAAGCCCATGCAGGCAGCTTGGCAGTATTCTGGGAATATAGGCTCCACCCAAGAAAAGCGGGAAGATTGATCTTTTTTAATTATTATTATTCCCTGAAGCCTGCCTGCCTGAGCTGCGTGGGGGCCTAGTGCTTCCCTCCATGGCTGTGGTGCCCCCTGGTACCGTCCAAACCAGATGCCTGTAGGCAGGTGCTGCCTGGTGGGGGCTGTCGCTGCTCCATTCCCCCCGCAGCCCAGGGACTACTCTGCCCGCCAGCAGCTTGCCTTCCCCTCCCCACCACTGGAGAGGCAAATAAGTTGGGGGGTGTGCACAACACGGGGGTTTAAAGGCCATTAAATTGAAGCGGTATTTTTAAAAACCTACCACTTCAATTACGGGCCCTGTTTCATCTACACACATCCCATATCTTGGATGGAGGCCTATGGACAGGGGCAGCTCCAGGAGTAGGGGGAGGGTTGGGATGCACAGCCACACCCTTCTTTAGTTCATGCGCCACTTAACATTTAAAACAAATTGCCCAGTAGGGACAGCCATGCTTCTATTCAGGTAGAGCTGAGGGAATCAATTCACTTCATGGCTCATTATTATATACTGGATTTCTGCTAATTGCTTTACTCCATAGGTGTTAATAACCCAGATCTTCCTCTAATCCAGCCAGCCTTTCTTCTATAATTATTCTGTCCGTCATCCTCTCCTGGTAATGTTTCTTTGCTCACTCCTCATGGGAACCTATACTGGGTAGCTTTGTTTCTAGGGAATTTGAACAAACTAGAGACAGAGAGGGGAGGGCAGAGCTGGGTTGAAGGCAGGCTGAGCTATGCCGTGGCACAGTAGTCAGAGTCAGGAGGGAGTTGCCAAGGTGAAGTGAAGAGGTAAGTTACGGCAGTGACCCTTTGCAGTTATTCATTGCAGTAGATGATAGAGGTTATGGGAGGATGAATCAGCAATGCAACCAGGGCAGCAAAAAAGATAGTCATGGGTGGACGAGAGGGGTTGGTCTCTCTGAGGAAGAGTATTGTCTGCAGCTGAAGTGACCTTCAAACTATTTGTTTCTGTATGTGAAGGGTGGAAGGCAGTAAAGGCCAGCTATGGGCATGCAGTGAGGTGCTGGGGAGAAGTGAGGGAATCATTTACAGCTGTGCCCCATGTTTGAGGGCTGTGAGAGGTGGTGGAACTATTTGGGAGATATTTTGAGGAGGAGTAGGCTAGAAGCTTTCACAGATGCTGCCCTTCAAATGCAGTGTTGGTGATATACACACAAGGCCTTGCACACATGCAGTTTAGTTTGCTAATAAAAGCCCTGGTTTCTGAGGTGAAAAGCAGTTGGTAAAAGGGCCTCATGATCTGGTTTCTGGCACTATGGGACATTCATGTACAATGCTCAATGCATTTGACTTCTAAGTTATAGGAATTGATGCCAGGAAGAGATTAAATAAGAACTTTTTGAGTGTTTAGACAAACTTAATGAGCACAAAGCAAGCACTACGCCATTTTGTTTCAAGAAAGATTTATCACTGCTCTGGAGCTGAGGCAATAAATACCCTGCAAATGAACTTTATACTCACTTATAAAATAAAATCCACATTAATCTCAACTATAAGAGATAACTGTAAATTCAATGAAAGTGAATAAGAGCAAAGACTTTGAAAACAGAGCACAGGCACCTGGGCAAATGTCAGGACAAAGTTGATCGTACTCAATAATCAAAACACCCCTGGAAATATTCTCAGATAGGTCACATTTGACCAGTGAGTCATGTGTCTGCCCTGAAAACAACTGGGGAGAGAATAACTATCAACAGTGTCCATTCTGAAGAATTCTGTAGTACAGCTCAAGTATTTTGTTACCGGGGGCATGAAAGTCAGTCACTGCAAGAGGAATATGGGGAAAGGAGCAGCAGATTTAAATTTTAATTCAAGCTACTATAGGCCCTCACAGGTCAATAGAACCAAGTAAGTTCATGCAGTGACTGTTTGGCATGTATGAGTCATGGATGTGTATACTGTAAGCATGAGTTATGTTAGTTCTATCTCTCGGTAGGCAGCCTTTTGGGGGAATTATATTATTTAAGCCTTCTATAAATAACTGGCATTAAATCTCCTTTGTTGGGTAAAAGGTCAATACTGTTCTTGTCAAGCTGACTCTTCAGTTTAGCATAACTAGGTACTTTAGGCTAAATACAACTTTCTTTAAAACCAATGCAACCCTACTGAAGCCAATAAGGGAGCACTAAGAACTCAATTTCTCTCTAAGATTGTGGAAGGGGGAGAGTGTAATCTTCTGTGCCGTTCACCAGTGTGCTTTGTTTGTATGTTTTTTTCAGACTTCGCTGTTGCTTGGGGAATGGACAGCTTGCTGCTGGGTTAGATTTCTTGGAAGGTCCTCAGGGATTCTATCCTGCCACATCTTGCTGGAATAAGCTTGTTTAATTGGAAGGAAAATGGTATGCCCCACCTTTTCTGGCACCCTCCTTCAATCTTCACCTCTGTCTTCCCGTTTTGGGGCTCCGCCTCTCCTACACCCCACCTAGCACCAGCCAAGGATCTTATTTCCCAATTCTCTAGGGCTGGTCACAGTATAGATTTTTTTTATCTTGGCCTTTCGAGTTACAATAGTCACGTTTGGACGGTATCTCATCCAGCTTTTTTTAGGCCATATTGGAACTGGCCTAGACTCTTTCCTGACCCCAGGGTACCTTGCTTCCCAATGTATTTTTCCCTCTCTCTGGTTTGTACTTGCTACAGTCCAAGTGTCCATCTCTCCTTCTCTCCTCAGGTTCCTGGTTGGTCCACTCCTGTCTGGAGATGTCTGAAATCCATGGCACCGTCTCAGGTAAATAGTTTAGCCCTCTTGGATTTAGCTTATTTTCAGAGTCCCCTTCCTGGGGCTGCCACCACTTACTCTCAGTGGGGCTATACTCTGCCCAGGGCCACTCTGGGCCCACCGGGGAACCCACTTCTGGTTCCTCCTGCCCCCAGTCCATCGGGGTTTTATTCCATTTTTAAGGGGCTGGTTGGTGAATTGGTGCCAGCACGCAACCATAAAGCATGTCCATGCTGGCATGGGAGCTGCTCCTGGCTCCTCCCGGAACCGTTGCTCTTTTTATTTCTTCTTTCTCTGGCGTGGCAGTTTTTTCTGCTGCACTTCCAGCTCGGCGCAGCGTCCCGCTGGCTCCATTCATCTCCCTCTTCAGGTGAGCTCTTCTCCATGGTCTCGTCCCTGCCACAGAGAGGAAAAAGAGAAGGAATGAAGAATACGTATATGTTTTTAGCTTTTAGTAACTCTTTCCTATTAGATTAGAAAAAATGGATAGTTAGATCTGCTGTGGTGGGGGGACATCAAGGGTTATTCAAGCCCCCACACAAATGCAGGATTCACTGTTCCTAAACCATTCCAGATAGATGTTCATCTAGACTTTTCTTGAAAACCACTGTGGAAGAAGATTCTACATCTTCTCTACACAGCTTTTTTCAGTGTCCTACTGTTCTACAGTTACAATATTTTTGCTGAAACATAATATAAACCTGATTTGCTTTGCCTCACCTCTAAACTAAATGTACCCATGAAGAGGTGAGAAAAGCCCCTTTTAAACCCACAGCCACAGAGGGAAACAACTGACCTACCCCACCAGAGTTGGCAACAACAAGGGATTGGAAGTCACAGTCGGAGACCCACTTTACTAGCAGCTTCTCCATCTGGGTTGCACCTCCCTGCATCTGTGCTGGTATTTCTGGCCTGATGCCAAGACCAGAAGTGGGGCAAGATGGACTCTAGAGGGGAACTCAAATGCTGGAGTGTTGGGACACCAGAGCAGAAACCCTGGGAGATGGGGAGAGGGCTGATTCTCAGCCTGGGATCTCAGAGGAGCTGTGTGTCACTGTGTCATCCATCCCTTGACATCCTGCTCTTATCTGGTGCTGGACATTACTCCTCAGGGAGGCGGGCTCCTCTTTGGGACTGTCTGTGATGTCTCTGGCTTGTAGAACAGCTGGGTATGCCAACTGGGAGCACCCAGCTACAGCGTTGCTGTTGCTCCCCAACTTCTCCCCAGCAGCCAGCTTTTGTAGTTGACTGCCAGTGCTGATTGATGATGTCATCTTCTCTCATCAACCCAGTGCTTGCACCCAGTATATCTTCCTGTGGTTCTCTGCTTCTTGCCACCATGCCTGAACCCAGTAAGTTTTCTTGGCTCACATGGCTTTAAGGGTTGTTTTCCCACTGCTTCTCTGCCCCCGAGAAAAGGGTCTCCACCAAGGTTCCCTCTAAGGTGCACATGTGCACAGCCGCGCACAACTAAAAGTCTGGCCGCTCACAGACTTTTCAAGGCCGCGCATCGGGAGAGGAGCTGAAGGTCAGCTCCTAGATGAGGTAGGGGCGTGAACCTGGCGCAGGCTTCGCCAGCTCTGGGGAACTGCTCCACTCCCCCGCTTCGCCTTGGGGAGTGAGGAGGCATGTGGCATCAGGGCCGGGGAGTGGAGCACTTCCCTGTAACCGGCAGAGCCTGCACCAGCCCCCTGCTCCAGCCTCCATTACTGCCTTGCCTCACCTCAGGGAGGAGCCGCTGCCTGCCCCAAGTGAGGCTCTGCCGACTCTGGGACACTGCTCCGCTCCCCGGCCCTGACACCATGTACCTTCTCACTCCCTGAGGTGATGTGGGGGAATGGAGCAGTGTCCTGGAGCCAGCGGAGCCTCACTTGGGGCAGGCAGCAGCTCCTCCCCAAGGTGAGGCAAGGCAGGGATGGAGGCTGGAGCTGGGGGTTGGCGCGGGCTCCACTGGCTCTGGGGAAGTGCTCCACTCCCTGGCCATGATGCAGGGGAGTGGAGCATTTCCATGGAGCCAGCGGAGCCTGCTCCAGCTCCAGCCTCTGGCCCCTGGCCCCCAGCTCCAGCCCTTGGCCCCTGGCTGCAGTTCCAGCCTCCGGCCTCCGGCCCCCAGCTCCAGCCTCCCACCCCAGCCTCTCGGCTCCAGCCCACAGCCTCCAGCCCCCAGACTCTCAGCTCCAGCCCAGCTGTGGCCCCCAGCCCCAGCCTCCGGCCTTCAGCCTCTCAGCTTCAGCCTCTGGCCCCGGCCTCCAGGACCCAGCCCCCAGCCTCCAGCCCTCAGCCCCCTTTGGTAAGTGTCCCATGCCGGGCTGAAGCAGCGTGCTCACGGACTGAGGCAGCATGCTCATGGACCGCTACTCCTTAGAGGGAACATTGGTCTCCACCCCTTCAGGCTCATTGCCCTGCAACAGCGATATTGGCCAGAATTTCTCCTATATTCCTTTTTGGTTTTCTTTATTCAGTGGAGCTGGGCCTTGGGGAATAGCTGCCACCCTCAGGACTGACTTGCACTATTGCAGGAGGTTGCTGCAAGTGGCCATAATGGCCCTATGGGCTGAAAGACTTACCCAAGTTCCAGTTTCTTGCTTTGTGTTGTTCTTCATCTCTTTTCCATTTACCAAGCCTTGACAGAATGACTGTTGGGGTCGGCTTAGCTGCCATATCGGGCCTGAGACAACCGCAGGCCTAAGGGGTTGAAGAAAAAAAAGAACACCCATTGGGAGCCAAGGGCATGACTGACACTTGAATAGCTGGGTGGTGCTTGGATGGGATGTAAGGGAGGTAAGAGCCCCAAAGAAGAATTGGATCTGGCATATCTGGGTCAACACGCAGCAGATTAGACCACCTCCTGACAAACAAACCTTCAACACCAAGACATGGCAAGCGAGAATCAGGTGAGCTTTTCTGAGTGTTTGAACTGGGTGAGTATAAACATCCATGTGTTGTCATAGCCAGATGTTTACATCTCATGGCAGGGTCTTCTGCACGCTCACCCTTATGACTGAACAGTTTGACCTCAGGTGTCAAATGCTTATGGCACAAACCCTCTTTTACCTGCCACGCTTGATGTTTACGTACTGAAGAGGAGGAAGTTTTCCAGTTCCTCTGCACCATGATTTGCTCAGTCAAATGATGTTCCTTGATATCATGTAGATACATAGAGATATATCATTTGGGGAGTTTTTGTTACCTTTATATCTTATTTAATATTTTATTTGCTTTTATAAGTTTTTTGCTTTATGTTGTAAGCTGCTGAGTTTTTTTTGAGAAGTGTGATATATAAATGGAATACATACATATGAGCAGCCTTATAGTAGTTAATGGGAATAGTCTACAAGGAAAGTAATGCACCTAGTTAAATGTTTGCAAGATCAGAGACTTAAATCAGCAGTAAAAAAAAGAAAAAGAAGACAGAACACATTAATAAAAATTGAAAGGCAGCACAAAAAGAGTTCAAGAAAGAGGTTAAAACACTCACCACATCACAAAATAGAAAAATAATGCTGCAATCAAAGCTGACATTAAAGCATATTTATAACTGAATTGGGGAAAAAATAACTCCAAAGTTTCCCCTGCCTAGAAACAGATTGCACAAAACTCAGATTAGTGATGCATATGCTATGGCAAATGAAGAAAATACAGGGCCCAATCTCACAATGATTATATCTCACGTCAGTGAAAATCTGGCATGACTTCAGTGAAATCAGATGCATGTAAAACTGGTATAAATTATGAGATAATCAGACCACTCTTTATCCTCATGAGTATGTTATCAAGAGACTAAAGATGACCCCAAAATGCTAAAATTAATCAATAAGGGCAATGGCAGACCCACTACTGCAACACTTATCAGCACGCATACCTATCAGACATGAGATTTTCACCTGATGAGATGTCCAGTTAACCATAGTGGGATCATTCCTGTGTGTAAAACTACTCACATGCATAAGTATTTGCAGACTCGAAGGAGGAAAAAATCAGTCTTATTATAACTATTCTATTTCTCCAGCAGGACAGTGGATTCTTTTCGATATCTGGCAATAGTACTTTTAGTTTCTTAACACATACAGACACATGGGAGGTGGCGACCATTTGAGATATTTGGAGAGAAGATTGCTAATTAAATTAGTTTTGAAGAAAGAGGAAGTTCAAACCTTGAATTTATTTGATGGGTAATCATGGTCCAGAACCATAAAAAGAAAAGACAAGATCATTTCCTACAGAAAAAGTCTCTCCACAATTTCTGTAGTTCCCATAGGCAACTGTAGCTGATACAGCTGACCAGAAATAAGATGGACTCTGAACATTAGCGTCATTTGAGTGTCCTAGGTCAGGTCTAATGCTAATCATGTAACCAGCTCAATTTCATAAAGCATCGGAGAAATCAGTTTTGATTACATACCTGATTTTTTTTAATCTCCTACACGAGATTTACAATGATGGAGTTGAATTTGCATAAATATGTTGCAACATATGCCCTGGGTGCTTTGTATTTCTAATATATCAAATAAAGTTGCTAGAGTCTTGAATACATTGCATTTAGTTACATCAAAACCTGGAAGACAATGCTGTTACTCATTATCAGTCTATTTACTTAATGAAAGAGAACTGTAAAATAACAGCTAAATAGATGGCTAGGCAAGACACATAATGCCACCAAAGCAAATTATGCTGTTGTTTCCAAGGAAAGTTATTCCAATGGCAAAAGACTGTTATAAATGATATGAATACTAATTATTATTGTTTGCATATTATATCTCTTTCCCCTATCAATGCTTTGTTCATGTACACAGTAAGGTCTTTGGGGCTCAGGCTGCTTACTGCTCTACCTTGGTATGGTACCTGATAGACTGGGACCCTGATTTGGGGCAAATAAAGTTGTCATGTTAACTCTGAATGCTGATAAAGCAACTGGATGCCAAAGGGGAAGAACTGGTTTGCTAACCAGATTTTGTGTCTATCTCAGAAAAATACACATTTGGGGTGCATGCTGATGAGCATGCATGTGTGGTTTGTGAAGCCTCAAAGCAGCTTGAGATGCTGCAACCCACATGTGGTGCACATCCACCCATTCACCGTGCTGCAAATTTACAGCGTGGCAGTTTTTTTGACACTGGGAGATCCTGATGTAAAAAAAAAGCTACCAATGAAAAAAATGGGGCAAGACAGAAAGGGATCTTGGCCAGTCAGAGCTATGCTCTGGCTGCTGGCCACAATCTGAGCAGCTGGCTCAGCACCCCTGCTGCCCCTGGAGGCCCCCCGGACCGTAGGTGCTGGCCTCAATCTCCCCTACCTCACCTGGGTCACTTTGTGACACCAGACCTCATGTGCTGCAGCTTTTTGTCCCATGGGAAATGTGTGTCCCTGCATATGCATTCTCATTGGGACACAACATTGTAGGGCAGAGTGGAAGAGTGGGTCTCTCTCCCACTCCAGAAGCATGAGGCCAAGCCTTACTCTAGATTTGTGCCAAATGTTGCTTACAGTTGACTCAGTGGTAAATGAGTTCCTAGTCATTTGACTTGGAGAGTCAAGAGTGGCCAGATATGATTACAACCACATCACTCCTTTGCGTATTGGCTACAGAAACTGGTGAGCTTTAACCATAGTAGCCTGATGGGCTGTGAGGCTCAGGCAGACCTTTAATGCATGCATACATATGCATCCACATACATCACAAGGATTACTTAGCAAGGTGGCTCATAATTGCTTCTATAATTTAGCTTTAGAATCCATTTTCATCAGCAAAACTAAAAAAAAGGATTAAATCCGAGGGATGATAGGTTGAATGCAGGAAAGTATTATATGCAAATGGTGATTATTCATGACTGAGTCACAAAAATATGTATTCAAATTCCAAACCTGAAAAATCTTTTATAATTTAAAGTTCTAACAACATAATGTTTCCTATCTCATATAATGGCAATCATCAAAAAATCTCAAAGTGCTTAAAGATACTGAAGTGGATCCAAAATTATGCCAGTCACAAAAAGGGGGCTTTACTTCAAAGTGGAGGCTGAGGATGGGGTGATACAGTGGGAATTAAATTAAGGAATAATTTAAAGAATATAGGAAAAGTAAACCTAGATCTAGTGATCAATAAGATTGGACCTTGAAAGATGGGAACCGATTCAACTCTCTGCAAGTGTA